GCGTCGGTTTTCCCGGGAGGTGTAAGTTAATAAGTCATTCGAACAGCTCGTAACAGGGTCGGTACTTACGGTCGAGGTCATTCTTTACCAACTCCTGACGGTACGTGGCAAAGGAAAACTGTGCCATTGGACACTGTTCCAGAATCAATATTTGTCCAGGCGAAATTGTCCCCGATATTGCCACTGATAAATTATTTACAAAAGTAGAACGGCATATTAATGGAATATCGAAAAAAATAAAATAATATTTAAAAGACGTACATAAAAATATGCATCGGGGATTTATAGGAAATTTTTTTTTTTTTTTTTAATATTAATATTCAGTAATTTTATTAAGACTCAATTAAAATTCAACTATCACGATTATATTCGTTAAATTTGGAACAAATATAAAAATATGTACAAAAATTGTCAGATATTTAATACAAGTAACTAAATAGTCTCTATTGTAATAAATCTCAATATTCAATAGGATCATCTTTAACAGTTGTATTATTTTATTTTATATCACTCTTGCAATAAGTATTTTATAATTTTGTTTCCGATCCGTCGTTACAAAAGAAGATTGATTCCATATTAAAAAATAAATCGAAAAGCAAGAATAGAATTTTTTCATTTAAGGTTCCGTTGTGGTTAGAAAAATTGGTTAGAAACTTATTTAGCTATTTATCAGAAATGAATATAAAAACTAATGGTCAGTGATAATCGTCGAAACGTAACGAAAGTATCAACTCTTTAGTGGAATTGCACCAATAGTATCCAATTATTTATGCACGTCAGTATGATGTAACGCCTCCATGTTACAAAAGCATATTTAAAACACAGAAATTCGAGAAGTCACGTCCACTTCGTTCGTGCAAAATCGCTATGGAAACTTTCCTTTCGGTCTCGAGGAGCACTCGAAACAGTCTCGGGATCGATTTTTCGTAAATTGATTTGGTGTCAGTGTGTCGTTGGTCGCGACAAAGGGGTGCCGGGGGAGGACAAGATAAAAAGGGGACGGCCTGATCCACGTGGCACAGCTTTGGAAAAAAGACGAAGCTGCACACTGGGCGACGATCGAGTTAAAAAAGCTGACGACGCTTGGTGATTTGACTCTTGGAGATCGGCGAGAATAGAGCGGCGCAAGTAGAACGACGCGGCCATAAGTGGTTCCGCAATCTCGATGGTCTTTGATCGGCGCGAGGAAAGCGAAACAATCCTCCTTGTTTCATCCGTGAACTTCCGCTTCTGGCGGAAATGCACTTTCCGTTACTCGGTTTCGCGCTTCGTGTCGCCACTTCGTTCCTCCTCGGCTCTTGCTTCCGCGTCGATGTTGCTTTTCGCCTGCTTGCGATTTCGTTTCGACAGACAGCTCGCGGTTTTCCAGCTTCTCTCATGGAAATTGTTATCGTATGAATTTCAGCTGAGGCTCGGAATTATTAACATTGCTGTTACTTTACATCTGTAGCATCCTTTTTCATGTAATTACGGTTACAACTTATATTTATAATTATATTTACTTTATATAAGGCATTGCTTGCCTCATTTCTAAATATAATTAATCGCAATTTCAATATCTGAAAATAATTTTTAATTCTGATACTTATTTTTAATTCTGAACACTTTGTTTATAGAGGCTACGTAATGTATACTTAAAAATTATTAAACTAATTATTTGAAAATTACCCAGGTATTTCAATAATACATATTGAAATGTAATGTCCGCGTATAGACTCTAGGAAAATTGAATCTGTTTTTTTCTTTTCTTTTCTGTGATATTTGTAATTTTTGTAATTGCGTATCAATAGAAACAGAAATGAACAAAATTTCCCATAATTTGAGTTATGGAGATTGGTTAGTTAATACAGTACTATTATATCCCATGGATCATAACCAGCATCGCGTAAAGACGAGATGAGTGGATTTGGCTAGAACAGATACTCCATTTTGCTAGAGTTCTCTACGCTAGTTAATGCTAAACAGTGGCAGAACATTGGTTCTATATTGATTTTTGATCTATCCGGAATGAATAGAAATTCCTATTTACTCTCACTACTAAAGCAATATGTTTATCAATTATTTTTATACATTTATTATGCTATTTCTATAACATTTAAAATTATTTATAAATGTTGTTTTGAAATTCTAGCGATAAAAAGATTTTAAATTACTTAAATACTAGATAATACTCTGAAATGAAAAATGCGCTTTCATTGGGCTTTTATAGTAACACAATAGTCCATAAAAATTAAATATTCCGTCCCATGTGTAGATTTAATACATAAAACATTGTTTTATTTTGATTCTATCCTTTTAAATAATAATTTTGAAAATATGAATTTGTATAAAAATCTACTTATTAACTGTCCTGTTAAATGCAGTTTCGCAACGCTCATGTTCTTCTGGAATAGAACATATAAATACATAACTCAAATCATAAATCAATATTAAGAAGATAAATTTTTAATAATATAAACAAAGTTGCGTGTAAGAAATATTTTACTTCTAAATTAATCGATATTTGTCACTGAGATTTTTCTTGCATCCAACATGTAGTACCATTCTGGTCAAATATACTAAAATTCACGTTGCACGACGTGGTAAAAGGTTTTGATTACAAATAAACGAAATTATTGCACAAACTACTGAAAACTAATTTCATTAAAATATGTAATGGAAGAGTCAAAGATAAAACAATCTAATAAAAGATATTCTCTTTTTAAAATTTATATATTTATTAATTTTGAAAAATGTTGCGTTCTTGTTGTAAATGTTCAATTAAAAATGTACTACTGCACTTTCTCAATCAAACTGATTTCGGAGAAATATTATTTTTACCTTAGCAGAAATTAGAATCATTACCATTTTAT